TATTTATGATTCTGGGATTAAATATATATATATTTATATTTGGCCATCTCTTTACAAAACAGAGTAAAGACTTTATGACTTTATGGTTTTTGCCATTTTGGTGATCTCGGATCTACCAGATTACTAGATTCCTCAGAGTAGTTTCATCCATTTCGATCAGGCTTAATGCAGAGACTTTTACACCCTTGAATTGGGTAAAGTAAGAGGATCCTTTAACTTCTTGTTCTGGAGTATGTCTTTCTTGCATCTCAGCAGGGTGTCTTTTCTTCATACTTGCTTTCCCCCACTGCCATGTCAGCCTTGAGCTTGGCAGATTTATGTTGGAGCATTTGTCAGGTAGTGAAGTCAGTTTGGGAGCTACCAGGACAGTCTCAAGAGTTAACTTTCATTCTAAGATATCAACATATCCCGCTCTAGATTGTCATACCTTGAAGTGAGTTACCGTCTATGAAAGGCACTGTCAGTAAGGAATACCCAGTGTTTTTGGAAAAATAATTAGAATTTGTGACTGAATAGCTTTCATCTTTCCTCAGGACCATCTTATACAAGGCTCAGTGGCAGCAGCTCCTCCCTGCTCCCTCGTGAGCCAAAGTAAATGCATCTTTAGGGTGCCATCTCCCGAGGTAGTAACTACCAATTCATAAAGTTAATCCATAGTGTACTGATTTACTGCTCAACACTTCTATTTTTCATGTTAATAGTACACTAATTTACTCCTCAAATACTTCCTCAATTTCTCATGATAATAGCCAAACCTCTCTGCAATCAAATTCTTTTTGACTAGGTACATCCATTTCAGTAAGAAATGTCATGCATGGGTATCAGAAGCAGTCCTTAAATATAAGAAACCGTCATTATATCTAAGAAATATGTATCCATTTTAGTAAAATTTTAATTACTAGTATGCTTCAATTTATGTTTTGAAATAAATTCAGGATCACTTTACCTTACTAACAAGTGAAAGTGACTTGATAGTGAATATTTAGTCCAATGTTCTACTGCTGGACAATGCGTTATCATTTTACAAACCTTTTTTAAAGTATAATATAGGCTTGATGTTTGTGATAGGATAGTAAAGCAGACTTTGAGTAAACTTTATAAAGAGAAAGGAGGAAGAGGCAGGGATGTAGGGGAGGAAGAGCAGGTGAGGATAAAAGGGAGGGAAGTAGAGAAGGATAATGGTGGAAAAGAAAGGGGATGATGAGGGAAGAACACATGACTAGATTGAAATTTCTTGATTCTTTTTCATGACTAGTGAACTATAAAAATCTCTTCTGTCAAAGAACATGAATGGCTGAAGAAGTCGCTAGACAACTTGGCTTTCCCTGTATACCATTAACAAAGTCCAGGATAGAAATACTGTTTTACTTCCTTCCCGCTAATCTCAAGGAAGTGTTATCTAGATTTTACGAGGTGACGGTTATCAATACTCAAACTTCAATAAACCCAAACACTGAAGTAGAAACATAATAAATGTAGGACTAAATGAGGAAGTTCACACAGCTGAGAGAAGTATCTTAGTTTTTACAGTGGTTTTTGCATAGTGTTTTAGGTATTCCTTCCTGTGCTAACTCATATTCTACTTATTATTAGCAAATAGGCCTACCTATCTCTATCACATATTATCTGAATGTCATTGAATGAATTATTTAAAGAACAGTGAAAGAATTACAGAGGAATATGTGGAGATCACTTAGACAAAAAAGTGTGGATGGAATTTGAGGGGGAAATGCAAAGTGAATGAAGTTGTGAGGAGAAAACACTGAATGCTGTCATATATGTGTGTAGTGAGAAACAAATGGTTGGACAGGACCAGACCAATAGTGACCCGGAAGTGACTATATGGCTGAGATTTGTAGGGGGAGAGGAGAGCAGAATATGGAGAGGACTCAGTGGACTCCATTTGGAGCACCATGGCAGGTGAGGCAAATTAACATCACATACCAAATTTCTTAGGAAACACAAATAGTGCATTATTCATGTGTTAAAAGGCTTTTTCCAACAGTGTAGTCACCATTTCACTCTACCCTTCCCATGTGCTTGAAATGGACATAGCTGCTCATTCATTTGAATTCTTTGCAAAAAGTCTGCTGTTTTTCTCCCTCACAAACTTTTACTTTATGACCCTGCTTATAACTACCAGCACTATAGATACTTGAAGAAGTGCATTAAGGTAACAATTACCATTTTCATATGTTTGCATTTCAACAGATGGTTTTCAAGCAACATATATAATACACCAACTTATCTAAGGCAAGTGTTTACAGATAAGGAAATTGAAACTGTGGCGGCTAATTATCATACCAATTATTACAACAGTGTAGTAAAGGGCTGATGTGATTAAGAGTGACTAAGTACAAAGTCTGACCTTTAATCACCCCAGAAAAAGTACATAAATATGAATGCCCAACAGGCTTGGCAGGGAACAAAAATCAAGTCAGTCAGACTATGCGGAGATATGCAGGCACAGGGCAGTATATGGATGCATGAGTGCACCACAGACTCCAATTTATGTCCCAGACAACCTTTGATCCAAACAAAAGTACTGAAAATTTCTCCTCCTTTCACATGATTCTGGCCTAGGCATTTCATTCATTCTCCTTCTATTCATTGGACTGTTCTGCTCTCATACTTCTACTCTAGATTTTAAAAAAATGGGTTTAGGGTTAAGCAGTCAAATCACATTTTGTATTCATGGACTTAGCTAGTGAGAAAGACATCCAATGAGATCCTCAACATTCTGATTTTTGAAAAATTTACAATCAGAAAATCAGTCAGTACAACATAGCTGTGTGGGTAAAAGGAACTCGCAGTACCTAGAACACAGAATTATTTCAATCAGTTAGCTACCTTCTCTTTCCTACATTGCCAACCCACAACCCACTCCTCATTTAGCTACACCCCGAGATTGAAACCTACACAGCAAATTTTATTGTAATTTAGCTATATTTGATACCGAGTCTAGAGCCCAGGAAGCAAAACTAGCGACTGATTACTTGTAAAAAGGCAAGGGTTGGTCTTACCTGTAAAGACTTTTAAGGCAGTCGTAACACAGCTGTCACTGTTTAATTTAGGGGCTTCACCCAAGTGTGCCTGTGTCTGAACATGAACAGGTCACAGCACACAAACTCAAAGTAACTCCTATTCTCTAAGATAATAAGGAAATACTTTCAAAGGTATTTACAGTAAGGAAACTGGTAAATGAAGAGCTATAGCTGCATTTTTGTGATTAGCCCATCATTGATCAAATGCATCTTTCAAACAAATTGGCCCTGAATTTGTTGGTAGGACAATGACTGAACAAATGCAGTGACATCTCTAGAGCCTTCCTGGACTTCACTCTTCAGTTTTAATGAGTCCTCCAATATTTCATAAACATTTATTTAAATTCTCCTTAGCACTTGCCACAGCTTACCATTCTCAATACCCAGCTAAATATTTACTTTCATGTCTATCTATGATTTTGAAGGTGAAGTCCTAAGTCAGGAGGCCATTTCAGTTTTGACTAATAACCTGACACCTAGAACAGCAGTTCTTTTGGAGATTATTTACCCATCCACCTACCAGCCAAATGGCTGAAGATGCCTGAGCATGTTCCAAAAGGAAATTTAAGTCAATAATGTGCACAATATTAGCCTTGGCTACCTTCTGTAGTATGAACTAATTATATTAAAAATAACAGCTCACACACTGAGTGTTTACCATGTGCCAGGTCATGTTCTATGTGATTTCCACATATTCAATGCTTGGTGTTGAAAACTGTATTCTGAGCTATTTATGAAATTATTTCTTACATAAGGGAGCCAAAGCATGAAAAGTGTAGTACTTTGCGCAGGAAGAGGTGGATAAAATATTAAGTCTAACTTTATGAGCAGAGAGCCTCACCTTGGGTTTTTAGAAGTGTTCCCTTTAAATGAGCCATCTGAAAAGGAAGTTTTATTTTATTATTTTTTAAGGTATCTTTATTTATGCAGACAGAACTGGGGTATACAGGCCAGAAGTACAGGGGTGGTGAGGAGACTTACCAGAGATAGTGGGAAGAAGAACAGGCAGCCTGATGAAGTACATTGCTGAGGGGAGCAGCAGGTGAGACAGGAGAGGTCTGCTGTGCCATGTGGGTCACCCTGCTGGCCAGGGGTCAAACTTGTGCTACAGCAGCTGTAGCTAGCTTTGTAGTGCTGTACTTCAACCTACTGTGCCACCAGGGAGGGCACTGAAAATGAAGTTTTAGATGAGAAACAATTTAATCTGCTTCTAAAAGCAAAACTGCTTCATGGAGACACTGGTTCTGGAACACAGTCCAGAGCTAGGGAATGGGACACAGGTTTCAGTAGTTCTCTTTTCCTAATGCTTCAGGGATCTAATGTCCATACCTCACTTTCCAAACTGTCCTATTGAAAATTATCAGCCCAAGGTGATACTAGGGGCTGGCACATTTGGGATGTGATTAGATGATGAGGGTAACATCCACATTCCTATTATTTGTGTGAAAAGAGACTCCAGAGAGAGCCCTGTTGAGCATGTGAAGACACAATGAGAAATCAGCTATCTGTAACCCTGAAAGGGCTGCCCTTCACTTCAGCATTACTGGAACCCCAGGTTTCAAAATGATGAGAATTAATTTATCTTGTTCATCAGACATGCTGTCTGTGTTGGCTTCCTGTAGCCGTCAGAATGCACTAAGGAAAGAAAGGATGAGTTATTGTCCAGATGCCACTTCCTAATAAATGGGGCCTCGACTCTAATTGTACACTTACTTCTCATTCTGGAGCCCCATTCCCTTCCTAGCCACACTTGATCCAAGTGCCGCTGAGGCTGTATCCCAAGGATACACTAATTGATACGATCTGACTTTAAGAGATCTAATTAAGAGATCGAGGGGAAAAAAAGGACATGCATATGCAGGAGCAGTAAGTGTTGCTCAATCCTCACACACCCTGCTAAAAAGGAAGTTAGAACCAGCTTTCAGTTTCACATCCCACAGAAGCTTGACAGAGCAAAGCCATGGCGCGTGAGTTTTACCCTCAGAGAACATGTATTGGGAACAAAAATAGATTTGGAAGGGACAGGATTTCTGGAAAGTCGTTAAGTAGATTCTGTGAATGTTTTGATGAGCAGAATAGAGGTTGTGGGATGAGATGGCAGAGGGCGGGTGACCAGATAGGCACAAAACCGGCCGGAAGACTTCCCTAGACTTTACACAGTAAGCACTAGGGCCAGAGATGGCTTGTGTGGTAATCTGTTGTCACTGTGCTGTCTTAACAGAATTTTACAATAGCATTAACTGAAATGCTTGAAGGATGCAGAATCAGAGGACGGGGTCAGTAACTGTTGCTCCCAGAGCAAATGGTCTCTCGGGTTCATCATCTTATAATGCAGAGATGAATACACATGGGCATGGTGGTATGATCCCTGCTGTCAGATACTCTATTGAGACAGTAAATCTCAGAGGCAGCTCTCAGAGCACATGAGGGTGATGTGTGATGTCGTTCTTTGGATTTGATTGGTGTGGAGTGTGGAAAGTTTCACTGGAGCTCCTCTTTCAGTGGCCTGTGAAGAGACTTCCAGGCAAGTTTCTCCACAAAACAGAGATGTTAGTTAAATTTAAAGAGCAGGTTTACTAGGGAAAAGGACAGAAGAGTAAAGACACTTGCATAGTCACAAGTAGGCGGAAAGAGCTGCCCTGAAAGGTTCACTGAGAGGCCTGCAAGGTCACAGGTGGATGGCCTTGAGGAGAGCGGCCTCTGCTGGGGGAGATAGTGAAGAGAAGTCCTACATGGAACAGGTGTTGGGCAGGCAGGAGGTGGCTGCCCTGCAGAGGAAGAGAGTTGACACAAAGGATCTCTTGCATAGTCACAAGTGGGCACAGGACTGCTGCCCGGGGCAAGTGCAGAGACTGTACTGATACAGACTTCTTTCTTTTGGGAGGGTCCCAATCCTCGTGGGGTGGTTTGTTTTGAATAAACAATGTAGAATTTGAAAGTGCCAGAGATTCTATACTGTGCTCAATCCCCACGACTTCACCTTGGGTCTGGGATTCTGACCCAGCCTGATACCTGCTTAGATCTTGTGCTCTAGGCATTGGCGCCTAAGGATCTCAATGCCTATAGTTGACTCAATGCCTATTGCTGACCCTTCTACCCCAGCTCCTTGTGTGAGTCAAGTTTTAGTCTTGCTATGTCTCCTTTAGATTTTCAATTCTGTCCTCCATCAGTGATTCCCCACACAAACATCCAGAATCAGGATTACTGAGCTGTGTAGAGAGGGGAGTTTTGTTAAGCTGAGGAGGCTCTGCCCTGTTGCTGAAAGGGAGAGGGGCTGTTTTCATGACTTGAGGAATTCTCCTGCTTTATAGAGGAGGCTCTCCGGGGGAAGAGGAGACAGTTCATCCGTTCAGTGGGCTCAGGTACCATCAACGGCTTGCTGGATGAGCTCTTAGATAGAAGAGTGCTGAACCAGGAGGAGATGGAGAAAATAAGAGATGAAAATTCTACCGTCATGGATAAAGCACGAGCTTTGATGGACAATGTCATTCGGAAGGGGCCCCAGGCTTGCCAGATTTGCATTGATTTTATTTGTGAAGAGGACTCCCACCTGGCAGGGACACTGGGGATCTCCTCAGGTATGGTCAGGGATGATGCTCCCCTTGGCCTGTGTCTTTGTTCCCATCCACATGCTAAGCCCTGGCTCATCATTCCTAATATATGTCCCCCACTGTTTTCCTCTTTGTCCTGTGTCTTTTGCTTTTCTTTGATTAAATTTCAATTCCTGTCCTGACTATATGGTCACTGATTTCCTGAAGTGGGTGGTATTTTCAGCAGGGAGGGTCCCACACATTGTTCAGATATCTTCAGATTGACGGCCTCTTTTAATGTCCATCTTTCCACAGGTCTACAATCTGGAAATTCTCAAACTACACAAGAACACCAAGTACTGGTTTCTACCTTCGCAGGTGATGATGATTTCACAAAGCATGAATATTTTTGGCCCCCAATTTACTTGATATTTAATTACAAATTATGGGAAGAATCAGTGGGAGGGCCTGTGGGTAATTCTTAAGGATCGATTCCACCCCTTTGCCTCTCATTTCTGACCTGGCAAAAGCCATTCATGTAGCTTCACTCTCAGGCTTACTCTGCCAAAGCCGAACTCCTCCCCAGGCCTCACTCCCCACGCATAAACTTGCACCTACTGAACAGGCGCTCTGGTGCCACAGGCTCCTTCATCCACGTGTGCCCAGAGCCCAACTAGCCATCCTGCCCACTTGCTTCCACTCCCCTCCACACCTGGTTAGTGCTACACTTTCCCCTGTCATCAAACCAGAGGCGGAACTTAGTGGCTTCTCTCTAACATCCACACCCAAGTAGGGGCCGCGTTTTGCTTGGTCTCTGCCCAATGCCAGGATGGTCACTCCACAATGGTTCAGTCCTATTACACACCCACTACCTAGACGGGGCCCTGTGATTCTCCGATAGTAACCCTCACTGTATATTTTTTATAAAATTACAATTTTTGGTTACAAAAGAATCTTTTAGAATACCACCCCCCACTTCCCCCAATGTTAAAGAATTCTGAAGAAATTGAACAGGTCTGACTTATTCCTAGGTAAGACCACCTCTATTTATAATGACCTTGCAGCCAAAATTTGTTAAGAATCAATTGAAAAATTTCATTCAAATTGCTATTATTTTCTAGGTCATTAGAAAAATATATTGCAAAAAATGGACTATAGCCTATAGAATGTTTAAGGGATCATGAATAAGTTTCCTAATTTTGTTGAACTTTTATGAATACATGTACATGAATTATGAACAAATCAATAATCTCCCCTATGACTTGCAAACTAGGAAACACTTAGACTTGGGAATGACACTACCCACACCCATTTCAGTTCAGATGATAAGACAAGCTGTAGCAAGGCCAAACATTTAAACTGACTTAGATAGGACAGAAACTTAGTTCTCATTCATAAAAATTCCAAAACAGTTATTTTTCATTAGTCTACATGGCTTTTCTCCAAATGCTAATTCAGGTACTTAGAATCTTCCATCCCATGACTCTGATCTCTGTAAATCTGATGCCAAAAAAATGACTGTGGTCATATCTGCCCAGAGAACTGCATTGGGAGGGATATGGAGGATCATTTGAGAGAGAATTTGCTAGGTTTTGTTGGGAATTTTCAGACCAGGTTTTAGCTTGTCTACAACCCACTCACTGAGACACCCAACTTCCATGGAGAAATCATTACACTGTGGTCATCATTTTCTTTAAAATTAAAAAAAAAATCATCTATGGAAAAATAAATCAGAAGTGCTATTATTTATTAAGTTCAGAACTGCCTCTTATGAACCTAAGGGTGTCCCACTCATATATTCTTAACTATGTCATGGGACAGGACACTGACTATATAATTAAATGCCCTATATTTTTACTAAGATAAATTTAGTTCTAGTAAAGTCCTAACATTTCCTTTTATCATGTTCTACAGAACATATTTTTTTAAGTGATACTGATTTCTGTAGTTTTCTCCAAGTATCACCATTCTAATTATCTCTTACTTTCTCCATAATCAACATATTGCATGGGGCCTTGGTTTACATATCTGAATATATATTTACTTTAGATTATCCTTCAAGTTTGAATATAACATTTTTGTTTGGATAATTGAGCTTTTGAGCTTTTTGAAGGAATCTCCAAATATGAAGAAAACATTTCTATTTAAATGATAAAGATTACACTAATTTCTTAATGCATCATCACATTGCTGGATAGTGTTGACTTGTGACTGACAACATCCACCAAGTCTGTGCTCACATCACACACTACTGTGAAGACTCTTCCTCTGATATCAGTGAGTCAGTGAGGGCTTGGATGACAATTTATCATTAGCTTGCTCTCTCATATGTCAATGATTTAATAAGCAAATAAACACATATTTTTGAAGCCATTACAATAGTAATTAATGCTTACCTAAAATTAAAATAAAGCTTTAAGGCATTTGAACTATATTTCTATCAAATGATTTATATCAAATATATATATATATAATAAAATTATATTACCATTTTCTAACAATTTCATTAAAAATCACTTTCTATTTTTAATCTAAAATATTTGCAAAAATGTTGATTTTATGAGATGAAGGTCGATCCTTGTATCACACCTCTGGAAATCTCCTTGGGATTGAGGTTGTTCCTTTAGCAGTGACTCAGTCAATAAGTTGATGTCCAGCCCAGAATAATCCTTTGGAGAATGCATTCGACCCACTGCAGTATTAGATACAGAAAAGGCTGTGTGAGCACTGTGAGGAATCCTCGTGCAAGCTACTGTTTCTTGTCTCTACAGATCTGCGGACAGTGCAGGACAACGCAGCTCCAATTTTACCTTCAGGGACAGCAGAGGGCCTCAAGCTGTGTCCCTTACAGAAAGCCCAAAGTATAAAGAAAGAAAAGGAAACACAGGTACTGTGCTATGGACATGAGGATTTGGGTGAAAGATCCCTGAGGGACTCTCCAGTGTTAGGTTGCTTGCTGGTTGTTTTGAGATGCTCTGAAAAATACTTTACTCTTAACTTTGATGAAGGGCTTCTATCTCCTAGGTTCCCAGGCTTAGTAGAGAGTTCCCAACTTGATCATTTATCTGAGAAAATGATAGCAACAATATAAAAGACATCTAGTGAATGCTAACTACAAGTCAGATTCTATTTTAAGCTTTTTGCAATTAATAACCCTCTTTCATACCCCATATAACTCATTTTAGACATCATAAATTTAAGGCATGGGTTAGACAAATCAGTAAGTTGGAACATAGTTTTAAATTTCAGTCATTCTAATTGCAAAGACTTTCATCTTACAATCCTGTCATATCTAATTACATCATGCGCTCACCTGCCATTTGGGCTTGTACATACTCCATCCCAGACCTAGAGATGGACTTGCTCCTCCTTCCTGTCTTTCTCTCTGGTTCATGGGATCTGGTTTCTAAGGAGGACTAAGGGAGAAGTATCTGTCTGAACCTTCAGGGTGAACATTGAATTAAAGAAAACAAGACTATTCACCCCACCGTCATTTCTACAGATATATCCGATAATGGAAAAGTCAGGCCGCACACGCCTTGCCCTCATCATCTGCAATACAGAGTTTGACAGTCTTTCCAAAAGAAATGGAGCTGACACTGATATCAGAAACATGAAGACACTGCTGGGAAGTCTGGGGTACAGCGTGGCTGTGTTAGAAAATCTGACTGCTTCGGTAAGGTCTAACCTAATGTGAGAACAGTGACACCCTTGTAGGTCTAAGGAATCTAAGAAAGTCTTTTTGTAGCTTTCTAAGCTCCATTCCTGCTTGTGTCAAAGGAAATTTTCCCTTGGAGGAGGTTTCATGCTACCATAATCCTTCCAAACCTGTCATATTTTGGCAAGAGTATATGCATTCAATAATGTCCATTTCTTTCTGTTCAAAGTCTATCAGTAGCACCCAGTAGCTTCCCCAATTTAAATTTCAATTTTTCTTTTGCATTCCATTGATTTGAAATGAGATGGGACCCTTTAAGTGTCTCCCTGTAGGTGCCCACAGTGCTGTGAATGGATTCCATGGTAGACCATGCTCTGCTCTCTTCCAGGACATGAAGAGAGAGTTGGTGGCATTTGCTGCCCGCCCCGAGCACCGGACCTCAGACAGCACTTTTCTGGTGTTCATGTCCCATGGTGTTCGTGAAGGCATTTGTGGGACAAAATACTCTCAAGAAAACCCAGATATATTAGATGTCCACACGATCTTTCAAACCTTAAATGCCGTGCACTGTCCAAATTTGACGGATAAACCCAAGGTGATCATTATCCAGGCCTGCCGTGGTGGTGAGTGCTGATAAGTGCTGGACAATGAGATAGCCACATTTTGATCTAATATCATGCATCCAATATTTTTCAGTTTCTTTGTGTCTGTTCCTCTATCAAAGAATACCTACTGTCCAAAAATAATGAGTTAAATTAATAAATTTGACTGAATAGAAGTTTCATGGAAGAAGTTATTCCTTTGGTGGCTGGTAGTAACCATATCTTGTCTTTCCAGAGGGACAAGGAATGACCTGGGTAAAAGATTCAGCAGAAGTTTCTGACAACATTTCTCCTGTAAGACCTGAAGAGTTTGAGGATGATGCTATTAAGAAAGCCCATATAGAGAAGGATTTCATTGCTTTCTGCTCTTCCACACCAGGTAATCTTTGTGTACACAGGGCAGCTCTGTGAGCATCATCAGTGTGGGAACTTCATTATTTCCAGTTTCTACTAGCAAACCACATTCCCCAAATGAACCCCAACTACATTATATTGCTTCTCTGTGAAAAAATGAACATCAATGTCCTTAATTTCTACAAGGCTTTCACAGATACCAGTCTCCACCTTTCCTACCCACTTCCCGAACAGGAGGCAGCCTTATAAGATGGCTGTAGTTCAAGGAGAATTTTATTCTATTACTATTATCTCTTTAGTGGCCATGATAAGAGGCTAAGAAGTTGGTTAAAGCATGTGTGCATGCTGGAATATACAATGTTTGAAAACTCATTTCTCTTATTTCTTTAATAATTTAGAGAGATTATAGGACAGGGTCCTCCCCCTGGTGGTGCAATGGGTTAAATCACAGTGCTAGGAAGCTAGCCACATCCGCTTTAGCATGAGTTCAATCCCCGGACAGGAAGGTGACCCACATGGTGTGGTAAACATTCCTATCTTGCCCGCTGCTACTCTCAGCAGTGCACTTTCATCAATCTGCCTGTTCTGCTCCCCACTCTATCTTTGGTGAATCCTCCCACCACCCTTGCTCCTCTAGCCTGTACCCTAGTTATATATTCATAAATACATCTTTTAAAAAAGGGATTTCATGACTTTTATGTATCTAATATTTCATGTAACATCATATGCTTTAGTATTTCTCTTTGTTAAAACTGTTTTGTCTTTCAGTAGAATGTTATCTTTCCTTTATAAACCTTTTCTCAGGTTGCATTTTCCACTCTTGATGCCATTTTTACACCCAGTTAATTATCATTGTGTCTAAATGCCTCCTGTCATCAAAACTTTTATATTTTAACTAAATTTTTTATAAAGTGTATAAGTTTATACATATGTTTTACTCTATTTAGTCGCATTTTACGTATTTATTTTCTTAGACACAAGTAATACATTACAACTAATCTTCAATTATGTCTTTGTAGCAGATATTATTAATCTATTCCTGTAGTTGAGAATATTTTATTTGGAGTATATAAATTAATTTAAGTCATAATCAGGAAGTCGTACTGTGGGGATCCAAAATCAGATTGTTCTTCCCCAAGGTCCCTTACTCTGTTCTCCCTTCTCACCCTCTCTAATTTATTTGTATCTCCTTGAACTCAAAGACTATCCATCCTGATGTCTACAGCATATAAAACACCTTTCACTTGAACTTTAGTATTATGTGGAGGGGACCTGATGATCTGTGGTAGAAAACTCTCATTGCATGTGGTGAATGTGATATGCTATGGCAGACTATATTACTTTATTATAATATATTATTTATTATAATTATACTGTAATTAAGCTATATTATGTATTATACTATATTGCATGCATTATATAACTATATACTATATAAAGTATACTATAAATATGATACACTATATTACTATGAATAATATACAAGCATATGAGTAATATATATATTTCTCATATATTATTAGTATAGTATATAGGCATATACATAGACATATATCTATACTAGTAATATATATATTTCTCGTATATTACTAGTGCAGATATATATAGGCATATATATGTATATATGTGTAACTGTATATATACATATGTGTATATATGTATAGGCATGCACACACACATATATATTTGTGCCTATATATATCTATACTAGTAATACATGAGAAATATATATATATATATATTACTCATATATGTCTCATATATTACTCATAATAATACAGTACAAACCAATATTATCTCAAAAGTAATAACTTAGGTTTTCAGAAAAATAAAACTGTTGCCTACAATCACAAATATACTCAGTGAGATCTATTCACTTAAAGATGGCTTGGAGTGTATACAAAAAAGCATGAGAACAGCATAATATGAACAGTCTGCCTCACCTAGCATGGAATCCCTACTGCTTCCAGCTTTGCAGCCATCCAAAACCTCATGTGAGATTTGCAAAATGCTTCATTCACAGATAATGTTTCCTGGAGACATCCTGCACTTGGCTCTCTCTTTATTATGAAACTCATAGAAAAATTTCAAGAATATGCCTGGTGTGATGACCTGGAGGAAATATTCCGAAAGGTAGGGACCTAGATTCTTCTGCATCTGTATGTTTGACTATTGCAACCAGAAACCCAGGAAACAGCTGTAAAAATGCCCTTTGGTGAGTGGGCAAAGATGAAAGCCACCCAACCTATAATGATCTAGAAAATAACCCTAAAAAACATTGTTTAACTCCCCTCCTGCCCTGAATCAATAAGCACACAGAGGCAGACTCTATTTTCCTGTGTCCATGGCAATCTGTCCAGCAGAAGACTGGGAAAGTCTGGTGGTCCCTCCCCATTTGCATATGCACATTTCTATGACTTTAACAGCTGTCTGGCCCTTTGGGTTTCCTGATTTACTTTTCTGTACTCTGCACAGTCTCTAAGGCTGAGCTGAAGATCCTTCCCTCAGGAAAAAAAAAATCTACTGATTATCTGTCCCATCTAGGTTCGGTTTTCCTTTGAGATGCCAGAAGGCAGGGCACAGATGCCCACCGCTGAAAGAGTGACTTTGACAAGACTTTTCTACCTCTTTCCAGGACTCTAAGTGAGTAATCACATGAGTGTGTGTGGACAGATGTGTGTGGTGGGGTGAGGTTGGGGGGACATTGGAGTTTCACCTGGTCACGTGGGTGTGCAGGCCCCAGAGTAACAACAGGGACAACCGGGGCTGTAGTGCAGGGTGGCTGCTCGCGGCTCTGCTGAGCTCCGTGGCCCCCTCAGGCCTGCTGATACCGAGTGAGCAGCAGTCGGAGGTGATGGCAGTTAGTGGCAGCTTCCTCCCATCACCTCAGCAGAGCAGCACGTAGTCGTGGGCTGATGGGCCTGTCTTTGCCTGTGTATGTACACCCGGTAGATAGAGGGATTTCACTATTGTGCACAATTTAATTTTTGTTTGCTTTTTCTCCTTTTCCCGTAGGATGCCAGGAGTCTGTTATGCTGCACCTGCTCTTGGAAACATGTCTGCAGGTGACATTACTTCAAACATTCCAGAAATAAGAATATCAATAAATGTTCTTTAATCAGGAAATAAATCTGCAATTTTGCCTTGATTTTCTTTTGCTAGTCTAGGATGACAGGAGGTGAATGAAATGGCTTATGGACTTTGTGTCTTAGTCTCCACCCATAAAGGCACAACTGGCTAAAGCACCACTCTTTCAGAAACCGTTTTCAGGGTTTTATGCTTTAGGACACAGAGGCAGACTGCAGCGGGCACCTGCTTCAGAGCTCTTGGCTTCAGTGGGGAAGATGCAGATCAGCACCTACCTGCTAAGCATGCTAAGCGAATCACGAAAGTCCCAAGCCCACAATTGACAGAGCCCTGCCCAGATATTGTGTGCTTCTGTTCTTCCTATGGCAGGGAAGCAGAGTGACTCTGGAGGCATTGGTTTCTACTGGAAAAAGTTTCACCAGTTTCAGTTTCATGCAGTGATTCTCCAAGGCGAGTTTCTCCATGAGACAAAGATGTTACTTATATTTAAAGAGCAGGTTTACTAGGAAAAGGGACAGAAAAGGGAAGGATATTTGCATAGACACTAGCAAGCAGGTAAAGCTGCCCCCAAAGGGGCAGGTTTGCTGAGAGGCCTGCATGGTTGTGTAACAAGGTGGTCCCTAGGAAAAGGGGAAGTTCCAGATTCCCTGCCTCATCCAGGAGGGTGGAGCTGAGCAGAGCAAAAGGAGAGAAGAGAAGGAATCAAGAAGAGAGAAGAAGAGAAGGAAGCTGGATGGAGAACAAGAAGGCAGACGCGAAGAAGCCACATGGAGCAGCAAGCATGTGATGAAGAAAACCGTGCTTGTTTCTTGACCCTGGACAGGTTAAGGCAGATGTGAGTGAGAGACCTGTGGGGAGGTGACTATGGCAGTGTTTATATTGATTTTGATTTTGCTCTTTTCCTCCCAGACTTGTCTGGCCATTTTGGACACTTTTCAATGGGTCCCGGCCAGAAGGTGCTTTAGTCTTGTGGCAGCTTTCAGGCCTTGCTTTGGGCCGATTCCTTTTGGGTTGACTTTTGCCCACGAGGGGATGGGTAACTTCAGGTGTTTGATTTAGAAGTTATATTCTTTGTGTTCCATATTGTATATTTACTGTATTAAAGTCCCTTTTCATTAAAGCTTTATATGTTTTGTCTTGTTGCGGCGGATGGCAGAACCCACTTAGAGCAGGCAGGTTTTGGGGCTTCAGGGGTGCCCCTCTCCCCCTGTCCTGTAACGGATTTTGTCCTGAAACAGTTGCAGGAGCGTGGCCTTGAAGAAGCTGCCACTGCTGAGGGAGGTCAGTGCAGAGAAGTCCCAGCATGGTGCAGGCCACAGGCAGCAGGAAGCTGCTGCCCTGCAGAGGGAGTGGGTGGAAAGAAGCACCTGAATAGTCACAGGTGGGCAGGGCTGCTGTCATGTGTCCGTGCAGAGACTACACTGATAAAGTCTTTTCTCTCTGGGAGGGGCTCACTCCTTTGTGGAGTGGCTGTTTGCAGCTGATTTTGGGTAACTATGTGGAATCATAAAAGGAACCAGGGATTTCACAATGGGCCAGTGGACTCAATCACTGTAATTTACCCTCAGATCTGTGCCCAATACTCCCTACAGCAGTCTGATAACAGTTTAGATCATATGCCATGTGATAAGGCTCTAAGGGTCTTGACTTCTATGGCTGGTTTAATGGTCATGTTAATCCCTTCTACCCCCACCTCTTTGTGTGAGTCAGGTTTTAACATGTGATGTGTCCTTTAGGTTTTCTATTCTTTCTGCCATCAAGGTGATACTGAAGTCTCCATTTTTATTTATTTATTATTTATCTATTTATCTATGTATCTATGTCTCCCACTCACATCTCTTTAACCAGTCCAGGTGAAGAAATAAACAGGGCTTTTTCACATGTCTCCCACTGCTGTATGTGGCTTCCTCAGGTCTCCTTCTGGCTCTCCACCCTGCTTCCTTCCTCCTGAGATTCCTTCTCTTTTCTTTTTTTTCTGCTCAGCCCCACCCTCCTTCTGGGTGGGGCAGGGAACCTGGAACTTCCTCTTTTTTCCTGGGGACCACCTTGTTACAAACCTCTTTAGAGCAGGCTGATTTGGGGGCTCAGGGTGCCCCTCTCTTCCTGCCCTGTAACAATTTCCCCTTCTTTTTAAATAAACCCTTTATTAATCTTTTTGTGTGTGTCTGCAGTTGAGTCTTACTAGAATCCCTTTAAGAGGGTGGTTGTCCTGTAACACATAGATAACTCTGGGAAGATTTCACCAGAGCTCTCCTTTCAGAGGAATCAACAAATGCCCCAGGTGAGTTTCTTCATGAGAGTGAGATGTTAGTTATCCAAAAGGGTGTTGGGAGTGACCAAAGATTTACTGACAAGGACTGAATTAGGGTGGTAAAGAATTTTGCCTTGCATCCAAGCTTCATAAAGTGGTAGTAAACTGACCCTGAGTCCAGGATGGGACTAGCTGAAGGTGATAGGGAACTGGGCCTCACATCAAGGACACAGTGATGAGTCACCCCTTTGGAATCTGAGTTTAGAATCTATGTAAGAGACCCTTTCCCCTTATCGAGTTGGCAGTAGTTGCAGACCCCATCCTAGGGGCTCCATCTCAGCTGCTGTCCCCAGCAATAAACTCTGCTTGCTCAGCCTTTCTGCCTCCCGCCTTCCTTTCTTGGGCTTTCTTGGGAGGTTTATTATGAAAAAGGGAGAGAAGGCACTTGCACAGAGAGGTGCTGGCTGGAAGAGCTGCTTTTGGGAAGGGGGCAGCCTTAGGTTTTATCCTCATCTTTCCTTAGGTTGGGGGGTGCTCATGTCTGTGGAGTGGTTTGCCTTTGTTGATTTTGAATAACTGTAGAATTTGAAAAGGACCAGGGATTGTACAATGGCCTTCTCTCTCAGTGTCCTTACAACATGACACTCTCTATAGTACTCTGACTCCTGCTTGGCTCTGGGCCTCCTGATCTAAACTTGGAACAGGAGGACCTTTAATTCTAAGAGCTGGGTTAATGGCTATGCTAATCCCTTCTACCACACCCTCTTGTGTAACTCAGATTCTGGTTTTGCGATGCCTTCTTTTCAAGTTTTCTACCCTTATCCTTCACCAACAGCATCAAGCAGAGATTTTGCCTTAGAGCTGCTGAAGAGAGCAGGTCTCTAGGTATCCCTGAGTCAAGAAAAGTTAATTCCTTCATTTCAGCTTCTGGTCATCAGAGGGAGGGTAAACACACATAGAGCAAGTTATTTTTGTGAGAGAGACAACACTGGTGGTTTCTAAATGCACTCTGAAATAACTGCTTCCTCTCTTTTCCAAATTAGTCATCAGGGTCCTAAACATGGCTCCTCCAGGCAGATGAGGGAGGCCGGGAATCTGCCCAAGTCTTATCTCAGTCCCTGAAACACTTTTATTCTCTTAAAGTGTCTTTATCAAGTAACACATAATGATATTTAATGATTTAAGATGGGGTGAGAGGGTTCTGGATTCTGAACCCCTGAATTTGAACCCCTTCCCTTACTTACAACCCACAATGTGTACTAGACACAGAATTTGGGCCGATTACTCCACCTCTCTAATTACATTTCTATGTAACCCCAGCTATCCATATAACTTGGCACATGGAGTGTTTTCTTTCATTGAGGTACCATTGGTGTACACTGTCAGTATTTAGGAATTTTGGGTCCCCTCTTTCAGTGTAGTTGCCACAGCATACCTAATACAATAGCTCCCGTAGTCCAAACCATAGTCCATTGTTCACTCTGGCTTGGCCTGAGTGTGGTCCTCACCCAAGAGTTTAAAGGTGCTTATAATGAGACTCACCTGCAGACACAAACAAAAAAGTTTAATAAAGGGCTTATTTAGAAAAAGGGGAAATGAAAAGACAAAAAACTCTGGGAAAAAGGAGAACTATATATTGCGAATGAGTCCTACCAGTTCAGGTGAATTGGGGGACCCAAGAGCACACTGAAGGTCACTAAAAGTCAACACTCCCCAGGCCCAGCTGTCCTGGTTATTTCCCAAGCCTGCCTACTTAACTTCACCCTTCTTCCTAACAATCTTCCCTTCTCTGGTGATGACTTTATGGGGTTTGCAGTCCTGGTGCCTTTGATCTCTGGTGGGGGTGGAGTCCACAAAACCTGAGTTTGTGGAGTTCCTGTAAACATCCTCTCCCTTCAACACATTGAAACCCACTTGGCACCAATGGGAGCTCAAGTTATTACTAAAGCTGTGTTATGGTTAACTATAAAAATATGGCATGAGGATGGAATTTTTGATTCCTATTATGTGTGATAGTTTTATTTAAATGATCTATAAAATAGGGAAATATTAACTACCTCAGTGGACATTTGTGAAGGTCCAGCATACACATGTGTGTACTGTACAGATACTTATAAGCAATGGAGACATAATTTATATAACCTTATTTAGAGTTGTTCTTAATCATGTTAGGTGCACAGGAAATGTTAACAATCATTAAGTTACTAGTATTAAATCACTTTTTATTTCTTATTTTTTTAAGATTTATTTTATTTATTTTTGTATATAAGAACTAGGTCTTTAGAAAGTAGCTTTATGTGTTTAAGCTATCTTTACATAGAGATGGACTAGAAAACTATATAGATTGAGATTAGAATCAATGAGACATTTTGCCCTCTCATATGCTATAAATCATATCTGTGGGGTTAAAATAAAATTATTACTTTGACTTCTATATTCACCTCAGCACTGGAAATTATGTCAGACCATAATATGTTATCCTGTCATCAAACCATATAAAGGTGATTTTCAGTTCTGAATTTTCAGGTTATTTCCATTCTAAATTTTGATTGAGGTAAGATCTTAAAGTATAAGGACTTTAGGTGAAATCATTCACTGATGTGTCTATTCAGCAAGCATATGAGTGGTTTTAAGTATTTTAAGTACTGAGATGCAGGAATGGGATGTAGATTGAAAAGCATAGGTCTTTCTACACCGGAAATTAAATACAGAAGAAAGTCCTTATTCTGGGGGAGAAATGTATAGTCCAGA